TTTTTTTGTTGGAATTAGGGAATTATTGCACTTTTGATTGATTGTTTTATCACAATTAATTGAAAAAAGATTTGACCATTTCTTAGAATATAATAATCTTTATTACTGAAACAAATTCTAATTTTAAACAAATCTCTTGACCTACTTTTTTAAATAATAATGATAATTAAAAGTTCACATTGCATTCACATATTTGTAAACTTGTTTTAATATTCAAAAATACCTAACTTTCATTATCTGAAATAAGCCTGATTTTAGGTGATCTCAATCTATTTAAAATTTCCCAAAATATATGGCTTGCTTCATTTGCCTTCTCTTTCCTCGAATTTTCAAATAACTGTAGAAATCTTATAGTTACCTGAAATTTTTTGAGAGAAAATTCAGATTAATATAAAGAATTTAATTTTAAGTTTTCTATAAAAAAAAAAATGCAAAAATAATTTTCTACCTTTTCATTTAATATGTTAAACCCATTATCATCCATATCAACTGATCGTTGAATTTCTTTTATAATTAAATTTGGAAGTTGTTTCACAATAACAGGATTATTGAAAATTCTCATAAAATTTTCATCAAATATCTGACAATCAATAAAACATGAATTGATCATAGCATTCGCAAGGGTAGTAGCACCACTGTTATTACCATCAATAATATTATCAGTGTTAACATCATCTTCACACCAACTTAAATTAATTAAACCATTCATCACCACATTAATGCCATAATACCATAGTTTGTTGATTGATGATGATTCTCGATTAGGAGAATTGGTTACTATAATCAAAACATCCATCAAGTTGACAAGCCATTCTAATTTTGATCTCAAGATTTTTTTTTTGTTTGATTTTTTAGTATTATTGAATATGTCAAAATGGATGGTAAAAAGAATCCATGAAAATATTAAAATATTTTTGTTATTAGATGAGTGTGACTCCATCATTTCCATCATATCATTTCCATCATAATCATCATCTTTTTCTTGATTTTGTTTTGCTATCATTACTAAACTTTCTTGTAATAAATTTATAAGATATTTTGAATCTACACGATTCAATTGGACCATTGTACAAATTGTTACAACATATTTCTTGAATTCTTCCTCATTTTCATACAACTGATCACCTTTTATAATATCATCATTAGAAAACATACAAGTTTTTGTAAACAGTTGTATTATGTAAACATCTTGTTCTTTCAAATCTGATATTTTAAAATTGTAGAAATGTTTTTTTAATCGTTTAATTAATTCTTGTTGGGTTATGGTCAAATAATCTTCAGTGTTGGATGTTTTGTCATTTGATGGAATATAATAATTTATTGTTCTTAGAAATTTTATCTGTAATCCCTACAATACATAATAAATAGAAAGATTAGATATACTATAATTCATAAAAAATAAACAATTTGCAAAATATTATTTGATTCAAAAACCTTAATATTTATTTTCTGCTTTTTCAAATAATTTTTCAAATAAAACATCAAAGATTTCTAAAAGACAAGAATCATGAATTGTTTATTTTTTTAAAATGTCATCAATTCCTCGCCTTTGCTTAATAGCAACTGAAGATGATGAAGATGTTGTTGTTGTTGGCCTTTTGATTTCTGGATTTTTTGTAATTATGTCATTTTCATTTTTTTCAAATCCATAAAGTTATAAAATTTTAGTGATTCCATCATTAACAAGTATTTCTTCAAATTCTAAGTCACCACTATTAAAATCATCACCATCATCAGATATAACTTGAATATCAGGGAATTTCATTAATACATACATAAGGTATTCTGTTAAAGATGCTGACCAATCACAATATTTTATTGCAAACTTAATACTTTCAATATGCAATTTAAATTGTTTAAAGTTTGGTTTATTAAATTCTACAAGTAAGGGGAACCAATTTACTGGTGGAAAAACTTGATTGACATTCATAAGTGTTGAAAAAAACAATTGTGCTGATTCTATTGATATAGTAGATTCTGGAGAATTCATATATACATAGCGACTTTTACTTGAAAAAATATCTGTTACATCTGTTAATGCTACAAATAAAAATTTCAAATAGCTTGAATTAGGTAATCTAGAATAGTTTTTAGGTTCTGTGTCAGCAATATTTTTTGATACTGATTTTATTAGAACATCATTACTTTCAACTAAAAGTTTATCAACACTTTGTGTCATCTTGCCCAAAATAATAGCTGCCAGCCTTGCACCTTTCACATCTTTAATCATTATTTCTGCTGCTCCAGCAAAAACAGTACTAGATGGTGATGATGATGGTACACCTGCTATATTTTTTAATGTATCCAATACTTGATTGATCACTGTAAATGGTCTAGATTTAAACAAATATGAATTGGCCTTTTCATAAAAAAAATTGTGTGGATATATCACCCCTGATAAAGAACCTAAAGCCAAAATTGCATTCTGACGTTTTTTAGAATTAGATCCTGG